GAGGCTGTTCTTCGCAGCAACCGTACTGTCTAATAAATTGGACTCATTAACTAAACTTGTAAAATCTTTCTCATTGAATCAATAATTTATTAACATTTAAAAGAAAAAAAAAATTTTCTTAAACTACTTAAATATATAAATATATAAATCCGTTACAACTAAAATTGGTTTTTTAATTCAGGAAAAATTTATTATGATGCTACTGATCCTGATTTACTCCGAACTATTGCTGTGTGTCCACTGGAGTGGCATAGCGTTGCTGACCTGAGGAAAATGTCTTACTGTCTTACTAGCCAATCTGTTGATTCAGGAATCCACTGGATTCCAAAAACAGATTAAATTCTATACACTGCTACTAATTTGTCTACTTATCTGTGATCAATTCATCCTTATGTCTACCCTGCAGCTTGATCCCAAACACATACTGGTTCCTTAACCAGGAATAAATCTGCAATGAGACATACTATATTAGATATTTCCTTCTGCCTTGCTCTTAATGAACTCTCCTACTTACTGAAATTATATGCCATTCAGGCATGCGTTTGCTCGAACTGCGTGATGTTGCTAATTCATAGTTTAGCCTTCTAATCCTTACTAATAATTGTTTGCCTTCTGCTGATGTGCAGGGCTGCAGTACCTTGGGATAATTTGGCCATTCTGCTAACCAGTCTGCCAATCTCAGGAGTTTGAAGGCTGCTCCTATATTTGCCTTTTCCAGCCATGCTTGGCGTATTCCTTTGATCTGCGCCTGGCGCACACGGTATCGCCACGTAGCTGCGCGATTATCTACAATAAACTCGGTTTGGCCAGGATCGGGCTTTTGCTCTATCGGATCGCTCGCGGTTTCAAGGTGAAGGCAATCGTTCACTTGGTGGACCCCCTTCGTCCGGGAATCGGACGATGCGGTAGATTAACGAACGGAATATTCCGTGTCGCTTAAATTGGCTTTGTACAAAACTACTAGGATTTACTCACCCCTTTCATCCACGACGAGCTGGTCGAAGCGCTTCCACGTGCTCGAGGCTGGAAAGGAATAATATTCCGGGAAAGCTCCCGGTCACAAAACAAAATATCTACTCAGCCAGCCAATAGAAGCCTTTATTTGGAACGAAACCCTCCGCCCACCAACTCCACACGTTTCTTCGTGGCATCACGAGGCCACCAGATGGACTGACTTCGCTCCCTTCTCTGCGGCGGAGCGACCCTTATAAGCGCCGCGAACGCTCCGAGTCTAGCTCCCGAGATTAGCTGCCTCGGACCACACCTAGCGGCTTCTCCAACGAAACCTTTTTGGCTCCCGCCTCTCCTACGTCTGCTCCGGCCAGGCTCTCTGGTAGGAACCCTATCCTCCCGGTGATCCCTCGCGGCCATGCCTCGTGGGTGCCGCGCACCGTCTTGATTTGTGCCGTAGATCGAACCGCTGCACAGTGGTCCGGCTTGTATGAAGAGAGCGGCCAAAAATACTTCTAGTTGAGGTAGGGACTGGAAACTTGGCACAAAATATTTATATTTACACCCAGTGGCGGATTTAAGGAAAATGCCCAGTGGGCAAAATTTTTTCAGGGCCCCACTGTCACCCCATACCTCCGTCGTTTAATATCGACGCCGTAATATGGGAAAAAATAACCCCCCCATTGCCGGAAATAACCGTAAATTACAAGGTAAGGAATGATCGCAATCGGTTTTTTTGGGTCTACGTCGTTACCTGAGGCTTTCCCCTTTCGATCAACTCCAAATTTAGCCGAAAATACAAAAAATTGCGAAAATACGCTGGGGGGCCCCTCTTCTAGGATTGCACCCAAAAGTTATTTGATTTTATATTAAATTTACGATAGTTATCAAGCATTTCAATTATTCTGATAACAGGGGGCCCCTGAATGAAAATTGAACTTGTGCTGTCCACAAGAGACTCACCGAAACATTTTTTCAACAAAAATAAAAAAAAAAAAAATCGAAGGTGTAAGTTTCAGCAAGAGGTGCCCTGAAAGCCTTTCGTCGGGGGGGCCCAGTAGGCAAGCGCGCCTTTGCCCACCTGTTAAATCCGCCACTGATTATTTGAAAATTATTTAAGCTTTTATTTGTTATGTTCAACCTAATGTTTGAACAGCCCATCTTCCGTCTTTCCTAAAAGATAAGGAGACTGTCTACATTGAATATTGAAGCTTCGCGAAATCTGAGTTTTTTTTGTGAAACTAAGCTGAATCTCTTGATTTCTGAATAATTAACAGTTCCCAGAAACCGAATTGGGTATACATATATAACACCGAAAGTCGTACATTTCGAAAACAATAGTAGATCTTCTCTCGTCAGGGAAGCACCAGTCAGCTCCTCGCCAGTGGATTAAGCCTTCTTGATCAGTTATGGGAAAGGATCCTTCTGCCGTCGTTTTGGCAACGGCACTTGCATTTTGTGCCTTATGTCCTTTCTTTGCCAGGTGCGATGAGATCGAGCTTGATATCAAAAAAGGCATAGAAAGTTTGTCGAAAGTCCAGGTGAAATATCAAGCCGAGTTCGACATGAAGGTGAAGTTTGCGCAGCTGCAGGAGGTCATCTATGAGATTGATATAGCCATGATGGGATACATGGGAAAAGCCAAGGACAAGCTGCCTCGGATTCGCTCTTTGAACTCCGAAGCCCGTCTCACCTACCGAAACTGTGTGGTTTCAGTCTTCGTGTGGTGCCAAACCAATAACGGCGCCTTTGATATCTTCATCGATAATATTGGCGACAGCAACCTGTCGGAAATGGATAGGAATATAATCTGGAACCTGACCGTGTCTACTCTGGAATGGGGCCTCGAAGAAACCGGAAAATCTTTGGAATTCCTCACCTATTTCCTAAAAAGTATTAAAGAGCTTGAAAAGGCGGTTCGAGATATATCGCATGATGTCCACGACGATTTCGGCCCAGGGGGCTTCTATAGCGAACAAAAGGTGGATCTGCAGAAGAGGATCAACGGTTCTTCACTGGACCGCCATTTACCCGCCATTTTCACCGTAATATTTAATTGGAAGCAAAAGCAAACCTACAAGGCGCAAATGGAGTTTATTGAACATTTATTCACGGTCCTGACGAAAAAGATTGAGAATGTCACCAAAAAAGTGAAGGAAATGGAGAGTGACCTGGAGGTGGACAAAACCAATCTTCAGAAGCTCCAAAGAGTAATTGCAGGCCCCAATAATGTACGTTTTTCCCCCAAAAACTCATACTAATTCTTTTCAAATCTGTAATTTTTATATTTTTCTTTATTTTAGAAAAAAGAGATATTGTTGTCCGACATGGCTCTTCGGCGAGTCCAATTTATTCCGAACATCCAGAATCTAAAGGATAGCTGCGCCAAGTACGTGAACTGGCACGGATTCAATGATCCCTTTTGTTAGAAGAACAGGTTCAGAACTCGTCGTACAGCCTCCACATTCTACGAAAGCGAACCATCGCCCGCTTAAATAGCAATTGTTAATTCTAAATCAACAATACGGTGAATAAAGGTCAAACAAGTTACTTTCTCAGTACCAACAACTATTACCCTTTATCTATAAGCTGTTTATACCCTTGCAGAGGGTATTACAATTTTGGTGAAAAGTGTGCAACGCAGTAAAGAATGTGGTAGAGTCTGCCCAGCGTTCTGAGTCTAAGGAAGATTTAAGCTTGTTCAGATTGGTTCTACCCTCCAGCCCGCTTTCTCCCTTTGAAGATGAGATGCTGCTTCGTCTTGGAAAGAGTTTTTGGCCATTTATCTGGCTCTGACTTGGCTTGTCCAACAGCCGCGGTGCAAGTCTCAGTGCAATTAATTGTTAGTATCTTCTAGTGGTTTTAAAATTGTATTCTAGTGGTTTCTTCACAAAGCCCAGCATAGCATACGATTTAGGCAGTATCTTTGATAATCTTTTAGATGATCGATTTTTATGGGAGAATAAATGGGGAGAATGGGGAGATACCATCCGAGTCAGGTGTGGGTGACTCTGTTAAATGTCCTGTGGCATGGAAAGCTAGGTCCAATATGTCCATGTTACTCACATTGAGAAAAGGCTCAATGCTAACAAGAGTTTCATTATCACTCCAAGGAACCTTAAAGGCAAAGTATTTTGAAAAAAGTACCGAAACGCCATGATTCTAGTCGGCTACTAAATTACCATAACATAAGAATGATGGTATGTCCGATCTTGACTTTTTTCTGCCAAAAAACTTTAGGATTGGATCGGAGGCTAGCTTCTAGATACTTAAAGAAACGTACAGCTCTCCATAAAGGGGTTCCCCTTTATCTCGGGGGGATCTTTATAAATCTATTGTAATGCTTATCTCTTCTATTCTTTAAGTATTTTAAACCTTTTCCTGGTATACGGAAAGCCCATAGGATCTTCGTACCCTCACAGGGGTACATAAATATCAATAATAATATTAAAATTGATGTTCATCAAACTCACACGCTGGATGGATAGAATAGATTCTCTGTAACACCTTTTCATGAACTTGCAACTTGTGGTTGACCTTTCTTGAGAACTACCCATATACTTATAGATCTGAAAATGTATATTTACATATATGTATGATTCTGGGAATCATGGCTTTTGTGATAAAATTTGTAAATGTTAATAAATCTTAAATTTCAATTCACCAATTCAATTCATCACTATCAGTAAAAGCATTCTTTTTTTATGTCAAAATTTGCAAAAAAGTTTCAATGCCATAATCATACTGAGCCCCGATTCCGCCTCCCTCAAAAGATAAGGAGAATGTCTACATTGAAGAACTTCTTCATTAATGCCTATTAGCTTCCGCGAAATCTAAGTCTTTTATTTGCAACTTAGATACATCTCTTGATTTAGGAATTATTAACAGTTCCCAAGAACCGAATTAGTGTTAAGTGTTCTTTGGTGTATTCACTTTTTGGGTATATAAAAGACCGAAAATCGTACATTTCGAAAAGAATAGCGGATCTTCTCTCGTCAGGGAAGCACCAGTCAGCTCCTCGCCAGTGGATTAATCCTTCTTGGTCAGTTATGGGAAAGGATCCTTCTGCCGTCGTTTTGGCAACGGCACTTGCATTTTGTGTCTTTTGTCCTTTCTTTGCCAGGTGCGATGAGATCGAGCTTGATATCAAAAAAGGCATAGAAAGTTTGTCGAAAATCCTGGTGAAATATCAAGCCGAGTTCGACAGGAAGGTGAATTTTGCGGAGCTGCAGGATGCCATCGATGAGATTGATAAAGCCATGCGGGGATACGAGGGCAGCGCCAAGGACAAGCTGCCTCAGATTCGTCCTTTGAACTCCCGCCCTTTGAACTACAAAAACTGTGTGGGCCCAGTCTTCGAGTGGTGCATTTCCTCCACCGTCCCCTTTAATATCTTCATCGATAAAATTGGCGACAGCAACTTGTCGGAAATGGATAGGAATATAATCAGGAACATGACCGTGTCTGCTGTGGAATTGGGACTCACAGAAAACGGAAAATCTTTGGAATGTCTCAACCATTTCCAAATCAGAATGGCAGAGCTCGATAATGCGTTTCAAAATTTTTCGATCTATGTCCACAACGATCTCGGTCCAGGGGGCTTCTATGGCGAAGTAAAGGTGGAACTGCAGAAGAGGATCAACGGTTCTATTCTGGACTTATCAAAAACCATTTCCACGCTTGGTATCACCGAATTATTAAAATGGAACCAAACGATGCAAACCTACAAGGAGCAAATGGAGTTTATTGAGCATTTATTCACGGGCCTGACGCAAAAGATTGGGAAAGCCACCGAAATAGTGAAAGATATGGAGAGGTACCTGGAGGAGGACAAAACCAATCTTTTCAAACTCCGAGGACATATTGCAGGTGCCGATATTGTACGTTTTTCCCCCAAAAACTCATACTTTTCAATGCTGTAATTGATATGTTTTACTTTATTTTAGGAAAAAAACATATTGTTGTCTGATATTGCTCTTCTGCGCGTCCGATTTATTCCGGCTATCAAACATCTAACGGATATCTGCGCCGAGTACGTAAACTGGCACGGATTCGATGCTCCCTTTTATAAGAAGATCAGTTCCAGAACTCGTCGTTCAGCCTCCACATTCTACGAAAGCGAACCATCGCCCTATTAAATAGCAATTGTTAATTATAAACAATTGTTAATTAATTATATAAGCAATATACAATTGTTAATTATGTAAGCAATTAATAAACAATACTGTGAATAAAGGTCAAACAAGTTACTTCTTAGTACCAAAAACTATTACCTTTTATCCATAAGCTGTTTATACCCTTGCAGAGGGTATTACAATTTTGGTGAAAAGTTTGCAACGCAGTGAAGGACGTGGCAGACTCGACATTTTCTCTGCTCTCTAGCGTTCTGAGTTTAAGTCCTTGTGAGACGGAGTTCTTTTCAAACCATAATTTATGAGTAATGTTGAATACATGTTTACATTGAAAAGTTCCTTGCACAGATAGGAGAAGACTACTCCAACTCATGATACTCTATCTGTATCCCTTATGAGAAAATGGGATTCAGGGTCTTCCTGCAATTTTGTGGAGGAATTAAAGGGTATCGTCTTTCACTTTCCCATCTCACTCAGACGGTATGATGGTGAAGACATTATTGCCAAGAGGTCTGTATATACGACAAACAAAATCCTCCTAAAAACAAACTAATTAAAAATTACTAAGGTAGAAACGAGATCTCTTACCTTAAGTTCTTCATTTTCTCCTTCCAGAAATGAAAGGAACAACTGGATCAGTTCCGATCCTCAGTTCCGATCAGTTCCGATCCTCGGGCACCCTGTGCTGGGACTTTGCTTGAAGACCGGTGATGGTACTTAGGAGTATAGCACCGACTGCAGATAATCTTTAGGAAAATGTAGCTTTTCCGCGGAGTACTAGTACTGACTTCTGCACGTCCCCGTCTTCTGCGTAGTTTCGTCCTCCACGCTTCCAGACAAGGTCCTAGGAGCTATACTTGATGAGCTAGAAAACCAGAGTGGCGGTCCACATACACACCAAGGGGCCCTGTTGCCTGAAAGGATTTAGCCATGTTCTCAGAAATTGGGGAGACGCCCGACGGGCCTACCTTATAGAGTCTAAAACTGTTATTTTTCCAACCTTATATTTTTTAGTATTTACTTGTTTTTCTTCTTCTAATTTTAATTTATTCTCCACTTTGATTTTTGACAACTACTACGTTTAAATAACTAAAGTTTGCATGGGCGTACAGTCGGAAACCCATTTTTCAAGTTGTAGAAATGACGTCGTTAAGTAACGAAAATATAATATAACTTGGATCAGGTTCTTTTGACACAGTTCGTCCTTGTGAGACGGAATCTTCAAGTTCTCTGAACGTGAAGGTTCCGTCTCACATGGCTGCGTTAAAAGCGACCGATTTTTCACATCGTTTCATATTCACATTTTTTCTATAATTCATCCGAACTTGAAAACTGATTTTCCAACTGCACTCCAGTGGCTAAGTTTAGCCAAACCGTATTAGTTATGAATAAATGAAAATCATTAGTTTAAATTATACAAATAAGAAAAAAATTAATAAAAGAAAAAATGAGGTTCTAACTGCTTGGAAGGCAGGAAGCTACTGATTTTCGGAGGAACAGAACTGGTTTATATAGCAAATATTTTGAAAACGTTACTTTCAGGGCCTAGTATGGCTTGACGGAATGCTTGGCTTATGTGTAACTTAAGTTAGAGGTGAAAAAATAAGAGTTAATAAGAGTCTAAGAGTTATTTCGGATGAGGTCCAGCGGGTGAGGTCCAGCGCTGTTGTCGAGGAGAGTGGTCGCCAACTCGTTGGGGTGGTCGTGTAGCCTCTGGATGTACTTGCTGCTGCTTCTCTGGACCTCCTCCTTCACCCATGGGAAGCCAAGCACCTCGTGGATTGTCTGGTTGTCGTCGTGGACGTGGGCCCCAGTGGCGATACGGAGGGCTCTATTTTCAAATATTTGGATAGTCCGAATATTAGTCTTGCTGGCCGTGCCCCAAAGTTGGATCCCGTAAGTCCAAATTGGCCGAATAATCACCTTGTAGAGTAGGATTTTCGAAGAGGTCCTCAGCTTCGACCTCCTACCCATCAGCCAATAGAACGCCTTTAATCTTACTTCACTCTGCTTTCGCTTTTTGACTAGGCGAGGCTTCCAAGTAAGCCTCCTGTCTAGCGTGAAGCCCAGGTATCTTGGGTTTTCTACTTGCGGGATGGGGGAGCTGTTGAGGTGGACCGGTGGGCAATTTCCTTGACGGAGAGAAAATGTGGTGGCGTGGGGTGGTGGAGGATTGACCGGATTGACAGAAGACCGGAGTGCCAGACCCGGTCGAAGGCTTGTTTGACATCCAGCATTATATATCCAGATATATATATTCTTGATCAGCATCAACAACCGAGTCGTTATAGCCATGCCCGTCTGTCCGTATGAACGCGTGGATCTCGAAGACTATAAGATATAGAACTATCTGATTTGGAACTTGGGATCGTATGATATCCGCGCAGATCAAGTTGGTGTCAATATTTTGCCACGCCCACTCCCGCCCCAAAAATATAAATCTTGTTTTAGCGCCAGTTCGTTAAAGTTTGTGGAAAATGTTTTGATGCCAAACTGTTCCAATGGCTAACCTACAACTACAAAAGCAGCCAAATCGGATAATGAGGAGTTATAGACTTCCCTACTGAATCGGTAGTATGACCGTAGGTTTCTTGTTGTTGTTTTGCCCAAGCGCAAAAGTATGCAACAAAAATTTGTTGCTGAGAATCCATTCCTTAAAGTTTAAGCTTTAAAGATGATTTAAATTGTGGCTGGAAGAGATGAGTACCGGGTATAATATAGTCGGGAAACATGAGTACATATAGCCGTCCATTCTTGGTTTTTTTTTTTAATTTTATTGGTATAAAAGTATAAGTTTGGACTCAATAATTGATGTTCATCGGACAACTGCCATGTTATGGAAAATTTCAAGACTGAAATCACTCGCTTTTTCGAAATGTGTTAAAATTAATTGGAAAATGGATTTAAAAAACATATTTTCATTATCTTGCAATTTTTTTGGTTTTGGTTAACTCTCAGTGGTTGGTTCTCTAAATATATCTGGAATAGATTTCTAAGATATATCCATATATAAATCTGGAATATGAATACTGGAATCATGGATTTTAATGTTAATTAATGTTTCATAAATATGTAGCTGTGTCCAGAGAATATCACTATCAGTAAATACTTCGATTTATTGTGTCAAAATTCCCAAAAAAGTTTAAATGTCATACTCATGCAGAGCCCATGATAAGGGGCTGTCCATATATTACGTAATCACATTTTCTGCGATTTTTGACCCCCTCCCCCCACCTAGTAATCAAAAGTAATCATTTAATGAACACCCTCCCTCCCCCCACAAAGATTACGTAATCACAAAAAAAATATGCAAATTTGCTCTTTCAATCTATATTTTCAAAAGGAGATTCCAGCCAATCTTTAATATTGTTAATTACTGGAAGTTGGCTTGTCAAAATCTGCTTATCTCCGCAGGTATCATCTTCGTCTTCGTCGTCTAAATAGTCTTTGTCAAACCATTCGAGGTCTTCGCATCCTTCAAATGACTGAACTACTAGGCATTCTCCCTTTCGCCGTCCAGTCACACGGTAAAGGGGTTTCTTTGATTTTTTATCGAAGGTTACAACTACATTTTTGTGAATTATTGCGTGCCGAGTAGCTGATTTTTGTGATGCAAAATACAACCCACACGTTTTGCATATGCGCTTTTGAAGTTGAAGTTGTACCGACGGACAATTGAAGTCGTAGGGAATCTGGAGTTAAAGAGGGGAGTGTGATATTAGCACATTCAATATATAAAATGGGGATAAAGCTTACATGCAAATATTTGTTGTGTTTATTTATTGATATCACGAGAGCTCTGCGTTGTAATAGGTCCAGAAAATTCTCATTGTTCTCGGAAACCATTATTTCAGAGACACCCTGAACAACACGTATAGGAGGAGGGAAAAATCGATCAGGTAGAATTTGAAGTAATCCACTTCTAAATTCTCCACAACATTCTTCAGAACGGCATTTCACAATCTGAAGAAAGTATTGACTCTCACGAACATGTTCTTGATACCAGTACTGATCTATGTCATCCAGTTCTGCCTCTTCTTCATTAGGAAAACAATATTTGGCAGTCACAGGAAGTTGCCCCAAACTTTGGCCAATGTTCTCCCAGCGAATTCAAAATTTTTTTCCTCTAAGTCGAAGTCTGTGGTTCTGCCTTGGTTATCCAAATGGCTTTCAAACATGTCGTGCGGCAAAATCAACCCAGACAATTCCCGGCTTAGTGGGGCCATTCTCCTTTCGACTCGGTTAAAAACACTTCTTCCTGAAATAAAAATGTATTTTACAATATAATTTAGCTATTAATTAGATAAAAATTTTACCTGGAGCATTTGTGGCAACAAAAATTGCATCCAAATTGTATGCCTTAAAATGTTGTACTGCATGGGAAATAACCTTCCCATACCTGGGATTTTCATCAGGGCCACCATCGGAAGTTAAAGTCACCACAGGCTTGACTAGTCCTTCTTCGGTCCTTGCTAATGATTTAAAAGACTCTAGTTTCACAATACTGTCGAAATCTCTAGCATGAGTTCCAGCAGTAGATGAAGAATGCTTTCCACTTCTAATGCTTATAAATGTGGGGCCAGAATAACCAACAGCTTTCGGGTCTCCCATTTTTTGAGGACTTATAATTACCCCCGCATAAACTGATGGGATTAGCTTATGCCTTGGGGCACCAACCCAATCGTGATCTGGCAGCTTGACCTTGTATTCAAGATGCATAAGCAGCGGTGCTTGTTTATTTGCAGCAGCCAAACCAATTGGCACCCTAGCCTTGTCGTCTTGTGACAAAAAAAACACTTGAGCAGGGCCAAGAACAGAGGCAACGTTTTCAAGATATTTTATAGATGCTGTAGCAAAATATCCATCTATATGCTGCTTGTGATAATCTGCTTGGGCTCGACAAAGCTTTACCGGTACCGTTCTCACATGACTTTTTCCTTCAATCGAGGAAGAGCTTCTGGGCAATAGTCTTAGATAGGTTGCGCTTCTCGACAAGTTAAACCCTTCTTTTTTGAGCTCTTCATGGAGATCAGACAAGGTTTTCACACTTCTAACAAGGTTAGTGCGCCTCCTTTCATCAGCTCCACTTCCAAACATGGCTATCTCCAAAAAAGTTTTATGGAGAAGCGGTTTTTTATTCTGCCTGTATTTATTTTGATCTTCTGCAATTTGTTGCTTGCGCTTGAGGCTTTTGCTTTCCTTTTTAATTTCTCGCCTAGTTTTAACAAGCTCCTTTTGGATTTCGCTAGACATTGTTGAATTATTTGCCTGCGCCAGGACTGCTGCTCTCTCAGTTAATGATACAATATTTGCCTTTGCCTTTTCTTGCGCAGGCTTTCTGTAGCTTCTTTCGCTGTTGACATTAGTTTTTGACTTTTTATCTATTTATTAATTAAGTTAAGACAAATTAAGTTGGTCTGTTACTTAATATTTTGGATTATTGTTTACTTACCCTGATCATTCCTTAGATCGATGGAATTTTCATTTGAATCGATCACAGATTGAGGAATATGATTTTCATTTTCATCTAAAGTTTGCTGAGACCTTAGATCGATAGAATTTTCATTATCGATCGTTGAGAGAGGAATATCGTTTTTAGGAGTACATATATTCTGTAAATAATTAAAAAGTTGTAGCCTACATAGGCCTAAGCCTATGTTCGTGGGTTTTTTTTTTGGATCGTCGCGGCTTTATAAAAGCGCGACCTCGTCGCCGTCGTATTATAATTTGTCAGGTGAATATAAAAAAAAATATTTTTTTATACCTCCAGGGTACTTATTGTGGCCGTTCTTAAAGATTCTTTGCGGTCCACATCAAAGCACCCTGGGAGCTCTCCTGGTGGAGGCTCCCAGATCAGAAGCGGCTACACCCCAACCGGTTAGTCCGTGATCCCCATCATCATCAGCAACTTCATCATCATCATCATCATCATTTTCCCCTCATAAATCATTGGTGCCGGAAAACTAACTCCTAGGTGGCCGGAAAACTGAGGTTAGGGATGGTATAAGAGAATTTTCGAAGACCCAACGCTGCCCAAGACCCGTTGAGCGAAAGGGCGTTGACCCCCATCAGCTATGGAATAATGAGAAAAGGGGAATTATCAAAAAACCGCTAGCCTAGCAGACCAGCCCCAACCTCATGGCGATCTCTTTTTTTTTCATCACCATTTCATTCCCCAAATCACGAGCGTTATTAACATGTTTAATTTTATTTATTTTTATTATTCAATAGTTTTAATTTTTAGTTTAAATTTAAATTAATTACAGGCTTTTAGTGAAGTGAAGAGAAACGAAATCGAAGAATAATGAAGATTATTATTTTTTTTGTAAACTTTCGCGAAACAAAAATGATCATCAGTTTATTTTAAATCGTTTATTTCATTCTCGTGCGGAAATTAGTTTGTTTTTAAATTCTATGGAGTGCAAAAACCCACTAACTCATTACAGCGACCCCAAAGCAGAGATCGATCTTTCGCCGATGGACTTACAGTGAGTGATTTGTTTACCTTTCACACGTACACTGAGAAAAATTTCTCGAGTCGCACTGAATTTTGAATTTAAAAAAAAAAAAAAAATGTAGTTTATTCATCCATCATTCATTCACACAAAAGCACGATTTTCATTTAAGTGATTTAATTTAATTTAATTAAATTGGTGACTAACGGATACTCTATCCTCAGGAATTTTAAATTTTTATCATATTTTTAATACCCTTATTTAACATTTATTATCACCTTCATATTGATATTTTTATTATATTATATATATACGCCTATTTCTTCGAACATTTACATATTAACTTTTACTTTTATAAATTTTACATTTAATTTTCCCTCACATATAATTAGGATATTTTATTTTTATGCAAGCAAACATTTAGGAATAATGCAAAACTCTTCAATGGTCTTAAATTTTTTTGTTAGTTTTATGCTGAATTAAATCTTATAATGAATTGAAATATCTCCTGTTGTTTGAACTGAGCTGATGACTCCACGGTTGTAGGGTGTTCTAAGGGGTCACTAAAGCATTGCTTTATCGGACTGTGGCCAAAGGTAGGGTGGACAGTACGCGAGCCTATTTACATCTGTGGCATCGCAAACTACTTCTTTCTACTTCTCTCCTCTCTCTCTCTTTCTAAATCTATCTTTTCCGCTTCGAATTAATTCTTCCGTTCTCCCGGTTTAGTATCTATGTAGCTATCTATCTTGTCGCCAGCACGCTCAATTCTGGACTTTATTTAATATTAAATGTGGCAGTGTTAGGATTTGTATAAAGCAAGACCTCCATCCCCAAAGCGGACGAGTTAGAGCCGGACTCTATAGCGTGCCCTCGCAAATACAAATCCTTTCGAGAAAGCGCAGAAGACCGTTACACGCTACAGTTATAATTAATTAATATTTAAATAAAGAAAAGTGGCGCCCAACGTTTGAGGCCTTAGTGGAACTGTTCCTTTTTTTTTTCATTAAGACTCCAGGATAAATTAATTCGATTTTTCAACCTTCTTATTTTTCTTCTTAAAATTTCTCTTTGGGTATTAAATTTTTTTTTGGAAAGCAGTTAAATGATTATTAGTGTTTATTACTGACCAAGATTTAAGAAACAAACGAGAAATTTTCCTAAATTTGGCAGAAAGGTCCACAAAGTGTTGGAACCTGAGGAAAACAGAAAACGCGAACTTAGGTCGAGTTCTGGCCCGGGCTAAGACACAGTGTCACCAATCTACCAACCTCTATCATTCTAAAAGCGAAATGAATTTCATCGTACGGAATATGGTGGTACTACTCCAGAGTAATGCCCCATCCGGAAGTTCAGTAGCGTAGAATCCTTTTGGATTACTTGAGGCGTCCGTTATGGTCTTATGGAATACACATGAATCTGTCGGAAACAGGTCGATGGCCAAGACCAAGCTGGAAGCTGAGAGAAGTAATCTCTCTAGTCCTTGAAAGAAACCGAGTAAAGTCATTCTATTCTAACTATCTACTTTTATTTTCCTGAGAAGTCGTGCGACATCAAGCATCAGGTCAAACACTCTTTTGATTAGATTTTTTTTTCCTTTTGTTGGTTTAGTTGCTGAAGGCAACGTATCTTTGAGTGAAATATTTGGTTTGCTAGCAACAAGCTTAGCAGCGAGATTTTGATAATTCCTTTTTTTATTTCTGTTGTTGATATTTTAGTTGTGGGAAAGTTACGATTTTTGGGAAGATGGGGATAGACCGGTCTCCAGATAAAGGAGCTGCAAACAGCTCCAATTCCAGTTGTCCGATTTGTAACGCCGAGGTAAACGCTGCCGAGGTCTACGTAACGGCGTGCCAGCATGAGTTTCACCGGAAGTGCATAGAAGCTCACTGGAAAAAGAGTTTACAATGTCCGGTTTGCAAGGCGGTTTGCAGACCCAAAGGACTTAAGGTAACGGATGATCCGGAAAGACGAACTCGAAGTCAATCCAGGAATCAGCCCATCCCCGATAACGTCGGGAGACAAACGACAGACGACATAGCTACCACTTCAGGGTCTAATCCCAGTTGCAGCAATGAAAGCATAATTTCGGCGAATGCCATAACGCTACTAGCTATGGAGCGGAGATTGCTGGAGTCACTGTCAGGAAAGATGGCCGAGTTGATCCAAAACTCAGTAGCTGACGTTTTGACTAGGACATTAGCTACTCAGAATCACAGCTCGGGAATGAGTCCCCCGTCGTTACCTCCATCAGAAGAAAGTATGCAAGGCAGGATAGACCCAGAAAATACCAGGGTACCTGTGAGAGAGAGCACATTAAGTCCGCGTTCCCAAAATTCTCAGGGCAGCAACACGTCAGACTTGTTGAACCGCCCTGATAAGGTAGTGCACATCCTCAACGGGTGGAAAATTAAGTATATAGAGTGGAAGCACTGACTAGGGAGACATTAGGAAATAACTATACGGTACTTTGTAGAAATGCAAGCGTCCTTTTTGAGGGTAAAGCCAATGAATTTTATTGGCGATATCATAAAGCCCATGGCGAAGTCCAATGGGACAGCTTCTGTTCAGCTTTGCGGCTTCAGTATCGTCAGGTTAGGGATGACGGCTACACTGAAGAGATTATAAGAAATACCAAAACCCAACGAATCGTTTGATTCATTTTACGACACCGTGTCGAGTCTGGTCGATCAGTTGGATCACCCTTGGACACAGCAGAAGCTAGTGAGAGTTATCAAGAATAACCTTCGTCCCGAGATAAGGCATGAGATTTTAAATCTTGATATCCAAACAGTCAGCGAGTTAAGGGGAATTTGTCGCAAACGCGAAGCTTTTATGGCTGAGGTAAAGAGATCTCAAGGATACTCTCGAAGCACGCCTTTTAAACGCGATATCTCTGAGTTTAGTGAAGGTCACGATGGTCCGGAGACAGAGCAATCCGATGATGAAGCAGGCATAGATGCTTTCTCCCTTTTGTGCTGGAATTGCCGCAAGGAAGGTCATAGATATCAGGACTGTGTATCGGATAGAAGAGTCTTTTGTTACGGTTGTGGAGCACCGAACACTTACAAGCCAAACTGTGGTAAGTGTTCAAAAAACTTCCAAGCCGGCACGTCGAAGTCGCAGTTCAGACCGAAAGCTCCGAGTGCCGTACGAAGTCAGGCCACAATGACCGAGAAATAGAAGAGGTAGTGCTGGCAACCTCAACTCCTTCCATCGACAAACAGTGCACTGATTCAGGTCCTTTGCTTCACAGGAAAATACCGAGGTTGCAGGAGGAGAATATTTCAGGATTTTATTACAACCCAAACTTTAAAATGCAGCGATCTCGAAGTTCAAGGCGGGTAAATCAGTTTTGGTGGCGGGTAAAGGAGGTTAAACAGGGCCTTCAGTACATTATTTCCTTGCCAGCAGGGTCAAGCGATCCGCGACCTTTTGTACCAGTCAAGTTTCTGAATCGTACTGTCTATGGATTATTAGATTCAGGAGCTTCAATTAGTTGTGTTGGTGGTAATTTAGCGGAGGAATTAAAAACTAGTATTAAATATAAAGTATTAGCATGCAGTGCCTCAACAGCTGATGGAAGAGCGCAGCAGATAATAGGATATTGTAAAGTTGAAGTAGAATACGGTGAAGTTAAAAAGTTTATGAAAATATATATAGTACCCTCTTTAAAACAAGACTTATATTTAGGGATTGATTTTTGGAAACTCTACGATTTATTACCCCGGAAGTTAATTATATCTGAAGTAGGATCAACAGAAGTAAACCCAAAACTAAACGTTGATCAGCATATTTTGTCTGAAGTGGATAAGGCCAAGTTGATGAACGTCATCAATTGTTTTCCGTCGTTCGTGCAAGAAGGACTGGGTAGGACGAATTTAATAACTCATACCATCGAGGGGGGTAAGGCGAAACCCATCAAGCAAAGACACTTTCCAGTTTCACCCGCGGTGGAAAAGGCCATGTACTCTGAAATAGATAGAATGTTAGAGTTAGGTGTTATAGAAGAGTCGGAGAGCTCTTGGTCATCCCCTATCGTTATGGTTACAAAACCAGGAAAAGTTCGAATTTGTCTTGACTGCAGAAAAGTCAACAGTTTTACAGAAAAGGATGCATATCCTCTTCCTCAGATTAGTGGTATTTTAAGTCGATTGCCGAACGCGGAATATATATCGAGCCTCGATTTAAAGGACGCGTATTGGCAGGTGCCTTTAGATGTCGCTTCTCGCGACAAAACAGCGTTCACGGTACCGGGAAGACCTCTCTATCAATTTAAAGTAATGCCATTCGGGCTTTGTAATGCTACAAGCACAATGTCTCGACTTATGGATAAGGTAGTACCAGCACACCTCAGGAACGAAGTGTTCGTCTATCTCGACGATTTGTTGATAGTTTCTTCAAGCTTTGACAGGCATCTTGAAGTCCTGAGGGAAATAGCTTTGCAAATTAGGCGGGCCGGGTTAACTATTAACATCGGAAAAAGTCATTTTTGCATGCACAGGGTACGATATTTGGGGCATATCATTGGAGACGGTGGTATACGTACAGACCCCGAAAAGGTGGCAGCAATCACCAATTTTCCTGTTCCGAAGAGTTTGCGAAATTTAAGGAGCTTTATGGGACTATGTGGGTGGTATCGCAAATTTGTGCCAAATTTTGCGACTCTTGCCGCTTCGTTAACTGACTTAATGACAACCAAACGTAAGTTCAGTTTGACCGACGAAGCGCTGAAAGCTTTCGAGAATTTAAAACGATCATTATCCGAAGCGCCCGTTTTGTATAGCCCCGATTTCGGAAAACCGTTCGAGATACACTGTGACGCCAGTAAGACAGGGGTAGGAGCAGTGTTAGTACAAGTATCTGAGAAAGGGGACGAGCGACCTATTTGCTTTATTTCAAAGAAGTTGAATAAGGCGCAACGGAATTATACAGTAACGGAACAAGAATGTTTGGCTGCAATAGTGGCACTAAAGAATTTTAGGGCCTATGTCGAAGGACAGAACTTTAAAATTATCACAGATCATGCCTCATTAAAATGGCTGATGTCCAATCAGGATTTAAGTACACGCTTGGCTCGATGGGCGTTATCATTGCAAAGGTACAAATTCAAGATCGAACATCGCAAAGGATCCCTCAATCTGGTTCCCGACGTGTTGTCTCGGGTTAATGAAGAAGTGATAGCCGCGGTGGACTTGCGAGACGGACTACTTTTGGATTTGAGCTCAGAGCATTTTAAATCGGGGGAATACACCGATTTAGTGAATAAAGTGAAGGCGAACGAAACTAATTTTCCTGACCTTAGGACTGAGGAAGGTTTCGTTTATCGTAAGGCCGAACACCTAACAGGAGATCGCATGCACGACGAATTCGCGTGGAAACTTTGGGTTCCAAAGGAGTTAGTTCCCGAAATACTAGCGAAAGCACACGATAGTCCCTTGTCGTC